CTGCTTACGGAGACGAATATTTCTTTTGCCACAGCTGTGAGCATCGTTAAATATCAACCTGAAATACCGTTTCCAACAGTCAGGCATCATAAATCTCGATTACTATACAATTTATGTTTTGTCAACCTCAGATGACGGTGATTAAATGACGACGACACGTGTTAATGGAAATGAGGACATGAAATAGGACCTCGTGAACAAGAGTACACTTTATTTTAGAGTTTACTGACATTTTGCCACGGTTGAGATTCTGCTCTTTCACAAGATCAGCTAGTATAGTTTTAGAATTCCGCATAAAGTCTACGGATATGCGGATGGGTAGTGAGAAATGACTGCCGGCTGAAAATAGAACTTGTTCATCTTCCAGAACTTCCTTGGCCTTGTCATGACGAACTGAATATATTAAAGATGACTGTTGGTTCATCTAATTTTATTGCTTATGCAATTTTGTTCGGTTGTAGTGAAACTCTCTTCTCATTAATATTGTTTAGACATATACGCCTCAGAAATAGACCTGGGAATCAACTGCTACCGTCCACAGAGTATCCAGCACTTGGCCGATTTGACCAAATTTTCTCGCAAAGAAATCCAAATGATCTACCGCGGTTTCAAGCAAGTAAGCGTGATGTTTGTCTCTTGACCAGTAGTCGTTGGTGACATCCGCTTGCAGGGTTCTCCAAACGGCCTGGTTTCCGCCGATCAGTTCAAAGAGATCTATTCCCAGTTTTTCACTCGCGGAGGTATCGGTAAATTTGGGCTGCCGTTTGAACCAGTAGAGTAAGGGTAAATCGAACCTTTTCCACAGATTCGACTCACTACGCCAGCCTGGTTTTCAACTCGTTCGATCATGACAGCAACGGCCAGCTGACGTTTGACGTGAGTGACCGACGAAAGCGAGTGAAGGAGGCAGTGGACGTATACGTTTTGCTTTCGTCTAGGAATTCGTCCAGGCGCTGTCGATTGTTTCGCGTGGTTCGCTGGAAGAGAAGCTGAAATGGGTGTTCAAGCTGTACGACGTCGATGGCGACGGTCTGCTGACAAGGCCTGATCTGGAAAAGCTCATATCCAGTGTGTACGCCTTGTTAGGAAAGCGCGTCGATCCTCCAGTCACCCACAAAGAGCTACAGGAACACGTGGATGACTTTTTGACCGTAATGGCACAGCTTGACGCATTTAGTCGTTCTCCACAGCCTTAACACGTTTTCTTTTTCTTTCTCAGAAAATCGATGAACGACGTTGTGGCTGTGTTACCTTACGGGACTTCGTCCGTGCTTGTTGCAAGGTAACGACCTGTGTTCTACTTCGATAGGCATCACGGTGTGCGAAACCTACAAGAGTTATGCATGATCCTCATGATTCAGTTCTAAGAGGTCTTCTAGAAAGGAGGTCTCCCAGTGCAGCTGTGACAGGCACAAAT